CACAAGGGACGGCTCCCCCCCCCCTCCCAGGGCTGGTTCCTCCACCCGGTCGCATTCGCTCAAGGCTGGTTGTGAGCTGTGGTTTTTCTCTCGGGCCAAGGCGACCCGGTTGGACGTACCTCAAATCTCACCATTTAGGACCTCAGGGAGGGGTGGATTTGGGGGTGCATTCAGCTGAAGTGGCTTTTTGTAGCTGTCGAAGCTAGGCTAATCTAGGCAGCACACTAAAAAGCAGAGACATCACCCTGCCAACATAAGTGTGTCTAGTCAAGGCCATGGTTTTCCCAGTTGCAATGTGTGGATGTGAAAGTTGGACTATAAGAAAGGCTGAGCGACAAAGAATGGAGGCCTTTGAACTCTGGTGCTGGAGAAGACTCCTGCGAGTCCCCTGGACTGCAAGGTGATCCAACCGGTCAGTCCTAGAGGAGATCCACCCTGACTGCTCTTTAGAAGGCCAGATCCTGAAGTTGAAACTCAAGGACTTTGGCCACCTAATGAGAAGGAAGGACTCCCTGGAGAAGGGCCTGATGCTGGGAAAGATGGAGGGCAAGAGAAGAAGGGGACGATAGGGTATGAGGTGGCTGGATGGAGTCCTTGAAGCAGGAGGCGTGAGCTTAAATGGACTCCAGAAGATGGTAGAAGACAGGAAGGCCTGGAGGAACGTTCTCCATGGGGTTGTGATGGGTCGGACACGACTTCGCAACTAACAACAACAACAAAAGAAGCTAGCCTAGGTTTAATGCTGGGTCAGGAGAGAAAGCGTTGTCTATCTAATTCAGAGGTTAAATTGGTTGTGGTCTGCTTGCAGAAGGCAAGGATTCTGGTAGGGAAAATTCAAGGGATTATCCCTGTGAATTCTTGCTGGTGTGAATGGGCTTTTCTTTGTTCAGTTTGATTGTTGAACCTAACTTCAGCTCCTTGGAGAAGATAGCCATGTTCAACGCATGTCAGCTTGGTTTTCAAAAAGCCAGCAACCGCAGCTGAAGGATGATTTTATTTCCATCCCCCAAAAAAGCTGCAATCCTATCCTAAGAAACCTCCCATTTGGATCAGCATGTTTTCCAACACCCTGAACATAATTTTGGTCACCACACTACAAAAAAGGGGTTGAGACCTTGGAAAAAGTTCAGAGAAGAGCAGCTAAGAGGATCCAAGGCCTGGAGACTAAAACATACGAAGAACGGCTGCAAGATTTGAGTTTGGCTAATCTAGAGAAAAGAAGGACTAGGAGGAACATGATAGCAGTATTCCAGTATCTGGGGGGCTGCCACAAAGAAGAGGGGGTCAGCTTGTTCACCAAAGCACCAGAAGGATGAGAAACAATGGATGGAAACTGATCAAGGAGAGAAGCAATCTGGAATTAAGGAGAAATTTCCTAACAGTGAGGACAATTAACCAGTGGAACAACTTTGCTTTCAGAAATCAGGGGTGCTCCATCACTGGAGGTTTTTAAGAAGAGACTGGACAGTCACCTGTCTGGGATGGTATAGGTTCTCCTGCTTGAGCAGGGGGTTGGACTAGAAGACCTCCAAGGTCCCTTCCAGCTCTATTCTATTCCTAATGCAAATTTTGAATGCAAAGACCCATGGCTTGGTTTAAATTCCTTTGGGGCACTGTTTAATCTCTAAGGTGGCACAATTCTGTCATTT